CATCGGGTGGTGAGCTACTATCTAGGTCATATCACAGCATCTAACAGGGAGCTAATATCTAGAGCATATATCAGCATGTGGCAGTGGGGTAATATCTAGGGCATATCACAACATCTCGCAATGAACTATAATCTAGGGCATGTCTGGTTTCATCTAGTAAAATTAAATTTACAAGATTTACAACATCTGTCACAGATGTGAAATGTGTGACAAGGTATGACAAAGAAGGGACACGTGTGGCAAGGTATGACAAAGAAGTGACCTGTGTGACAAGGTATGACAAAGAAGTGACATATGTGACAAGGTATGACAAAGAAGTGACCTGTGTGACGAGTAGCTAATTGAAATAACGATATTGTCTTTTATTTCTTTTTTTTTTTCTTGTTGAAATCTTCCTGTTTTATTTTATATTTAAAAAAGGAATAGACTGGAAGCTGTCAGAGAAACACTTGGACTCTGCCATCGAGACTCTGAAAAAAGTTGGACCAGTTCATTATTACAAATGGGCTCTTGGAAGAAAAGCCAACGTTCTTCAAAGGCAAGGAAACAATCAGGAAGCCAGGAAGTGAGTTGTAATTTGTGTGTCAGTAAACATTCCATTTGTTTTGTTGTCTTTAAAGCAGAGAAAAATGGAACCTTTAACAATGTTCTAGTATATGTGAACATGATTTACCATAGAAAGTTCAAGTATTTATTTTTAAATGGAGAGGAGGAATCAGACTAAATCATACATTGAAATGTTAGATTCCTGTAAGGTATTGATCTTTCCATTCATAATAACGGGAGAGATTTATCTGGGAATATTATGAAATATGTTTTTCTTAATTATTCTTTATAACCATATTTCAAAGATAGGCGTTCTTTTAAGATAATCAAATTCTACCTACAGAATAAGTTCTTCAGTGCTCTCAATATGAAATATCTACTTACTCATTTCTAGGAGTACAATCACAACCACGTTTAATGGATTTAGGACCGCTATAAATGTTTGTGTTAAAATTTAAAGAATTTTATAAAGGGATACAACTTACGGCATTCTATATTATATTTTCAATTAATCATATAGTCACTCCCCTTTACAAATGACATTTTTTGAATGAATTTTTAAAAACTCTCTTCAGATAACCAATCAATGTGGTGAATTTTTTACTTCTTCTTCTTCTATATCTTAAGGGCCCACGATCAATTTATTGATCATTTTGGCTCCTATGCATGTAGATGGGATTTGCAATGTTTCTGTTACTGGTGGTGATGAGGAAATTATGCACTAGGGGTTTGAAGGTTTGAGGCAATAGACACAAATGTGTCTAGTGTTGTCGCCTCAACTGTTCCTTTTGAAAGATGGTTCCAGTCCCTGATTGTCTTGGGCAGGAATGAGCAGCTCCTATACTGGCTTCTTGCTGGTATGAGCCTATAAGGGCCCACGATCAATTTATTGATCATTTTGGCTCCTATGCATGTAGATGGGATTTGCAATGTTTCTGTTACTGGTGGTGATGAGGAAATTATGCACTAGGGGTTTGAAGGTTTGAGGCAATAGACACAAATGTGTCTAGTGTTGTCGCCTCAACTGTTCCTTTTGAAAGATGGTTCCAGTCCCTGATTGTCTTGGGCAGGAATGAGCAGCTCCTATACTGGCTTCTTGCTGGTATGAGCCTGAATTGCCTGTCATGGCCTCGTCGCTGTCTATGGGGGAGAGGGACGAGTTTCTGTCATCTCTCTATTAAAAACTTTACAGTAAGGCGGCTATAGCATGCATTAATATATATTTAGAGATAGAGGGAGTTACAAAACACACTGTTATTTTCTTTGCAGATATTTCACGAAAATTAAGGAAGTGAGTGACTTTGCCATACCCGGAGAAGTTGATGAAATTCTTAAAATCTCGAAACTGCAAGAAGAAGAGGACAAATTAACAACAGAAATTCTTGAAACTGTGCCCATGATTTTTTTGGGTTTGTCAATAAATCTCTTACATATATTACGCTTCTGATGTGACTCGTGGGATGCTTCCTAATGGGCTGCTTCCCAGAGGACTGCTTCTTAATCAGCGAATTTGGTATTGAGAATATATTACAAATAATTCTAAATGTTTGAAAGAAAGTATGATTTAATAATGAGTTGAATAGCGCGCAAAATATAATTCCCAAAAACTATGCTAAATGATATTTTTTTTAATAAAACATAACTGCGTTTGGAGCGTATTTTTTTTATTTTCGGAAAAGGAAATCGTCTCAATTTTAGTATGGTGTACAAACTATTCGGTTTAAAAGTGGTTGGGACATGAGAATATGTAATATATTTCATGGGGGTGAATAAAAAGTGTGCAGTGACGTATCATGGGGGAAGGGGAGTTGCAAAATTGGGATTCTTATATGTGCGTTACATGTGAGTTCATGTTTTGTCAAGCTACTTTAGTAGACGGTAAGTTCATGCATTGCTGTCGCCAATGTTTCGAGGGCTGCATCCAGTAAACATTTTTTTTTTCAAATTTCTCCATCGCTGCTCACACTCTAAGAAATTTTGTTAAATATATTTTAAAATCCTGTAATTATTATTCTTCAATTCTCAAAGTTATGACACAGATATACCGCTATTTTTATAGAGATTTTAGACATTTGTAATAGAGAGAGGAAATGTATAATGGTATTAACAGGAGTAAATTCCTTTGGAAATCATCACATTTCTAAGTAATACCCTTTGACATAATAGAATGTTATTACGGTGCTACTAAATTAATTATTTTTTTTACAATACGTTAAAATTATTATTTATTATTTTATTTATGTTTTTTTTTTCAATATACGTTGTTTAAATATTTCAGTTTCGCTTTAAGTTGTAGGTTTTTATTATTTTCTTTGTAAAGCTTTTCCTTTCCTTTTTAATGCTTCCCAAAATAGTGAAACTCGTTTTAATCTCATGATATTATATTTGTGTTTGCCTTTCATTGCAACACAGGAGACAATGAAAAAGTGAGGGAAAAGCTGCACACATTATTAGATGAGTTGGATTCAAGATGTCCCAATCACCCAGACTTGCCTATCCTGCTAAATAACATTGGTCTAACAATCCAACGGGGTGAGGCTTTAGTACAGAAATTGAGACAATTTGAAAGACCGAGTTGGGCAGATAAAGGTTTTACTTATATTTGATCATAGTTACTGTTAGGATGGGTTAGATATTATATCATAGTTAGGATGGGTTAGATATATTATCTGTTAGGGTTGTCTTAGATATATTTTGATAGGATGAGTTAGATATTTTATCATAGTTAGTTAGGATTGTTTAAATGTTTTATCATAGCTAGGATTGGTTAGATATTTGATCTTATTTAGGATATTTTTTACCAAGTTAGGATGAGTTGGATATTTTATCTTATAAAGGATGGGTTGATTAGTTGATCATAGTGAGTTAGGTTGGATATTTTATTATTTTATTGATGGAATAGCTTTTTTATTTTGATAGTTAGGATAAGTTAGATATTTGTTCCTATTTAGGATGGATTAGATACCCTAATCTACTTAGTAATGGCTATATAATATATATTTTATCATAGTAATGAAGGGTTAGATATTTATTATAGTTATGATGGATTAGATATTTTAACACAGTTAGGCTGTTTTCCTGCGTCTTAGTTAACTGTTCTTTGTCTGAGTAGTCAACCTAGCCTCACAGCTGGTATTGCTGAGAAATTAGTTAAAGTAATGAATTTTATTTAAAAACATGCCCCCCCCTCCCCTTTCCTCGTTAACCTATGAAGTGTAATCTCTAAAGAGATATGAATAGTACCAAATCCCTCCAAAAATATTTGATAGTCAGTAACAATCGATAAGTTGTTGATCAAGCAACTGGTGCTCAAAAGATTACTTAACATTTTCTTTTGTTGTCTTTAAAAAAAAATTCTCATTCATACATTTAATAGGTAACAAAGATTTGAGAGGAGCTCTTGAGTGGTATGAAAGAAGCTACATAGAGAGACGTAAACTTGAAAAGATCTGTCCTCAAGACATGGTCGTCCCACTCAATAATATAGGAATGTGCTTTGCAAGACTTAATGAACTGGGTAAGCTGTGACCAAACTGCATTTTGAAATATGTTTTTTTTGGCTTATTTCCCTGACTGCAAATTAAAATATGGCCTTTATCAAAATTAACTATGGCTATTAATAAATGTAACTATTGCATGTATTTTTGTTTTAAATCTCATTATATTTTATTGATTCAGACAGTCCCTCATGTAGAACTTGAGCAAGCATTATGGTTCTAATTTGATATATTAAGTATTTTGACTGTTTATTTAGTAAAAATGCACCTCGTATGCCATGGTATATTTAAGAATTTTTTAAAAAATAGCGATGCTACAACAATTTTAAACTATACTCAATGACCAGATCGTGGCAAAAGATACCTGGAAAAAGCACTTGCAATTCAGCGTGAGCGAGCAGGTGTTCACTCTTACACGGCTTTGACATTGGCTCATATAGCTGAACTGAGTATCAAACAGTGAGATAATTTTTGTTAACGTAATGTGCCCTTAAATAGTCTTACACTGCCTGGAAATAAATTTTGAACATCCTTTCAAAAGTCAAGTTTAAAGATTACACTGTGGCCTTTAACTAGCTCTTAAAATATTTTTCAGAAAAGGATTTTTTTTTTTTTTTTTTTTGGGGGGGGGGGTTTTTTTTTTTTTTTTTTTTGGGGGGGGGGGGATTATTTAACATAATATCTCTTATGTATAATAATGTTTAAAAATGGTTCTCAAACGTATAATAATTAAAAAAATTGGTGAACCCAACATATAATCCTCAACAAAAAACTTGTCAAACTGCATTATTTAAAAATCGTTAATAGCTAAAGAGGAAATGAGGTAAATTTTTAAAAAATAAAAAAAAATAAAAATAGGCAGTCTAAACAAATGGTTAGCCGTGCACCCTACATTTCTATGAACAGGTAACATTGAAAATATTTCTTTTCCAAATTTTCAATTTGTTCCAGGAAAAACTTTTTGGAAGCTTATGAAAAAGCCTTAGAAGCTGAAGAAATGTTGAAAAAGATTGCCAAACAACATGACTTTCGGCTTCGTGTGCTGAATTCCTTGGTCCATTACAGAATAATTATCAGACAATTACATCTGACGACAGCTGAAACAACAACGGCTCGATTTGTGAAGTCTGCTGAAGATTTTGTTGATTGCATGTTAGAACTTGTAAGCAGTATACAACTGACTGATGATGGCCACCATTATGTGATGACAGCATACGAACATGCAATGCTTTTAAATTGGGGGAACTCTCGAGAAAAGTTTAAGCAGTACAAAAATGAATACTTGGTATTTGTTTCAGCGAACGGTTGGGTTCGAGATTTGATGTTTTCTGAAAAAGATGAACTTGCTTTGGCCTCCAAACACAAAAGTGTTTACTTTTACATCAGAAATACAGAATATAAAGATCTTGATCTTGAAACATTCATCAGTTATATGACACATGCATGTCCACATTGTCAAGAGGTCAACCAGGTTTATAGTGCAAACATGTGGCAAGAGGAGGTGAGATATTTAATACATCAACGCCAGTAAAATTAGTTTGCAGAGACAGGAATTTTCCCCCACAAAATTTGTAAGCCAGACAAAATTCCTAAGAATATATTAATTTAGAGCTAAGACTTTGGAAAATATCTAATAGAACCAAGACATTGACAATGATTCTTTTATTATTTACATCTGTTTTTATTATAATTTCATTGTCATGCTGGGAATGAAATATAGCAATATCAACATTATAGAAGTGAGCTAAAATAGAATCATGTAATGGGGAAGGAAAAATTATTAGTCACTTAACTTGTCTATTTTTTAAAAAAAAAAGATTCTTTGTGAAGTTTATTTGCCAGAATCCCATAGCGGCCCACTTTTAGTTTATCCAATTCATGTTGTTATCTTGATTCTAGAAGAGTTTACAAACAAATATATTCGTGTTCAGGGTGTAGCTTGTATTTAAATCTTTGTTTCACCCGAATCCTACCTAGATTGACGCACCTATATCTTATTTTGATTAACACAAATTGATCTTACTAGCATGAAACATCGATATCTTGCCTAGATTGCCACACTTCCAACACTGCCATAATTGGATCTTACCTAGTTTGTAAAAAAATCAACACACAACAAGATTAAGCAAGTCAGCTAGTATAAAGTCAAAATTAAATTCCCCATCGCTCATTCCCGCTTTAGGTGTGAGGGTAAAAAGTTTATGCATAGAGATGAAATGTCCATAATTTACTTTGAGGATTTCTAACTAAATTTATTTTTTGAGATACACTGGATCTCCAATAATATCTTGTTACATACTTGTTCTGCCATACATGAAGCTAATGTGTTGACATGTGAAGACTTAACAGTCGTGAATAGAAGGATCTTGTTTGTCAATATTTGATCAAATAACCTGTCTCTCTCTCTCTCCCCCCCCCCAAGAAACAGCAAATGAATGAACTTAACATCTTGTTAGATTAGAGAAGTGAAATTGAAAATTGTGATTACTCCAGGGCAAGTGTTGTACCACAAGTGCTGTACCAAGTGTTTTACCAAGAAATTTAGGGTGATAAAGACAACAGGGCAAAATCAAAATGCAAGGGTGCATTTTGGTGCATATTTGAATTTGTTGTATCTTTCAGACACTTTTGAGGGGACATTTCAAACTTTCCGGTGGGTAGTACCAACATTGTTATAATAAAAAAGGGGTGTACCGAGTGTTGCACCAAGCTTTGTACCAAGTAATGTATCAAGTGTCGTACAAAGAGTTATATCAAGTGCTGTATCTAATGTTGTGGCATGTGCTGTACCAAGTGTTGTGGAAAATGTATGCTTACTTTTCTTTGAATTCTTTTCATTGATTTTATGAAGAAATCTTTTGTAACTGTCAATGAAGTTTGTAAAAAAATGACAAATAACTTTTGTACATCAAATTTTATTAATTTGACCCATTTCAAGTGAAAAGCTCACTCAAACAATTTTTTACTTTTTAAAAACAATCAGGGTATTCCTTTTTTTTCTACGTCATTCAGCTATTATCATTTAATAGTTAAATAGATTGAACGAAATTAAAAGAATAAGTTATAATAATTAGGGCTAGCTATTTTATTTATGTAAAATTATAACATTTCCAAATCCAAGTTTTATCGATACAACACAGAGAGCAAGTACTTTTTTGTGTGAAAGGAACTGTATATTATTTTGGTTATTTGAACCTGCATTTTTAAATAAAATGTATAGAAAAAGCACAATTATGTAAGGAACATAGGGTATATTGAAAACAGGCTTCATGTATTTATCAAACATGATGAAAACAGGCTTCATGTATTTATCAAACGTGATGAAAACAGGCTTCATGTATTTATCAAACGTGATGAAAACAGGCTTCATGTATTTATCAAACGTGATGAAAACAGGCTTCATGTATTTATCAAACATGATGATAACAGGCTTCATGTATTTATCAAACATGATGAAAACAGGCTTCATGTATTAATCAAACATGATGAAAACAGGCTTCATGTATTTATCAAACATGATTCTTCTGAATAAAGTTGAAGCAATGTAATTATTTTTATTTTCTAACATCAGTTCATTGAATTTGTCAGGGCGGGTGTCACCAGAGAAGGTAGACTCGTTTAGGTCCCTTGGAAAGTCAGAAAAGGGGCAGTAATCATTTGGCACAAGCTTATAACCAATACCATTGATCATCGTGAGTAAAGGAAGTGCAGAAATTTGGGGGGCTAAAGACAGTCGGGCAAAATCAAAATGCAGGGGTGCATTTTGGTGCATACTTAAATTTGTTGTTTCTTTCAGACAATTTTGAGGTGTCATTTTAACCTTTCGCGTGGGGAGTGCCAAAATTGCTATAATAAAATTGCTATATAAAGTGCTATAATAATGATCAAAGACATCTTAAATTTCGCACCAGTGGGATGTAAACTATATTCATTAGAGCTGTGTCCCCCTTGAGGGTACGCTTGTGTCCTAGCTTAATATCGCTTATTAAAACTTTTGTAGTCCCCAGAAAATTTTTGATACATTAAAAATACAAGAATGCATTTTTTTTTTCAAATACCTGAATTTAGTTTTGTAACACTCTACACTTAATTGGAGAGCAACGGAAGAGATCCTAGTTTCAAAATGCAGGTGTCACTTAACGTTGGAACCAAGGTGTGCGCCCAGCAACCCCTATGATGCCTCGGATATTTGAGGGGTTCAAAGATGTGATGAGGATATTTTCTTAATTAGCATTTTTCAATGCAGTGTGGAAAAAAGAAAAAAAAAAGGGGGGGGGGGGGGGGTGGGCAAAAGGGAAAAGTTCTTGAACTGCTTGTATTATGCCCCCAAAAAATAGTGTTTATTACTAAAAAAAAAATAGTAATGGGAATTTTATTTGTATATTTACATCATTTTTTGTGGGGTGGGGTTGGGGGGATAGCTTCTTAATTCAACACACACACACACACACGCAAATATTAAAAAGGTTTCCATAATTACAAAGCACTGTAAAAATTATTGTGTATGGAGAACGTAAATAAAAAAATTAAAAAAAACAAATTACCTATAATAATTAGACTACCTTTTCTTAATATTTCCAAAATTTACCAGAGTCAAAATAATAACAAACAAAAAACCTGTTAATTTGACAGTTGTTAACATTTTTATGGATTTTGAAAACTGGTCATTTTTATGAATCTTAGATGAAAAGCATAACTACTTTAAGTAGACATGAGATTTTTTTACAAAAGACATTATATATTTGTTCATGTGTGATTTTATCTAAGGTAAATCTAAAGCAAATCATATGCAAATAAAGCATACATTTCCCAAAAATCAGTTGATTGAAATGTTTATTAGTAATTTCAAAATATTATAACTTTTTACCAAAAAATTAAAAAAATGTCTCTTAGATATACTTTAAAACAGAATTTTATTTAACCAAACATTCAGAATTTATTTTAGATTGAATAAATTGGGAATGATAATTTGACAAACGATATCAAAATGATATGTTTTGTGATAGATTCTCATCTAGAATTTTTAAAAAAATTGGTTTCAAACACGTTGGCTATAATAAATATGGGCTACTTCTTTTTTAACCTCTATTATGCAGGAAACTTTGTTACAAAAGTAGCACATTAAAAGAAAACACAAACGCTTTCGATGTAATATTTGATGAAATGTGCCCTTTTTGTATGCACCAATAAAATTCTTAATGAAAACAAAATCTCCTCTTTTAAATTATCCAACACGCGTGGAATTGATTAAATGGATTTATTTTTTAAAGACTAATGCCATACAATTAATAATTAACACCCATCCCTACTTTACAAGTCATGCTTTTATGATGAAATATAATTTGAAAATAGATGGCGCATGTTAGATACTTAACAAGAACTATTATTAAAATTGCAGACCTTTATATTAATGTAAATGTAATTAAATACAGTGTTATTAAAATCTTTAAACTTGTGAAGCTGCAAAAAAAAAAAAAAAATTTAAAAAAAAATGGTGAATAAAAATACCGATACATTATGCGAACTAAAGGAAGTAAGTATTCGGCCTATAATCTGGAGCGGCCAGAGCGATATTTATAATCAAAAGACCTTTATATTAATGTAAATGTAATTAAATACAGTTTTATTAAAATCTTTAAACTTGTGAAGCTGAAAAAAAAAAAAAAAAAATTTAAAAAAAAATGGTGAATAAAAATACCGATACATTATGCGAACTAAAGGAAGTAAGTATTCGGCCTATAATCTGGAGCGGCCAGTGCGATATTTATAATCAAAGACTATACGACTTTAACAAGATTAGCTTTAAATATACGGATCATCAAATATATCGGTCGTTGAGATTTTTCTCAGATAATTGTAATCGGTTGAAGGCACCAGACACTAATCTTTAAAAACCTTTTTTAAAAAGACAATTTAGTCGTTTTGAATTTATATAATCTTTATATTGCTGAACACATTTTGTTCGGGGGGAGGGGGCACTTGACTTTCCCACGGGGGGGGGGGCAAAGCCCCCCTTGGAGATGCGTCTGAACGAAACCCTGGTCACCCGGTGCAGTCCGCACCCCGCAATCCCTATCCGCACCTATGTGTGTGTGTATGTATATATCTATATATATATTTGTATGTATATATATGTATGTATATGTATGTATGTATATGTATGTATATGTATGTATATATATGTATGTATG